CAATCACATTTTTTAATTCAAAACTTCATGTTTAATTGAAAACTTCAGTCCTTGCATGGAAATGGTCTGGACTGATGAAATGGATTGATTTAGTTAGAGGAAATGGAGGCTGTCCTGAAGACTGGTTTGCTTTTTAAAGGTAGCTGAGATCTACTAACCAGACACAATGCTGATTGACAGCCACAGTCCCCTTGAAGTCCGTTCTCAGTTACCCTGGTGGGTGGGTTTAAATCAGCTATACAAGTCTGCTGACAAAGGCACTGAAATTGGCAAAGTCTGTAATCTCATGCTTGCTATTAAAAGGTGGAGACTGCATCTTGAAGCTTGAAGATCTGTCTCATCAGAAATCAAGCTTGTACTAAAGCGTTTGAATGGTTCAAGACCATTTTAAACAGACTGTGCATTAAGTGGAAGCCATCTAACCCTAAACTAGTGAGTGGAGGTGTTCCTGGTTAGGTTTGGAGGTGGATGACTATCTGCTGGACTGTAAGCTTTTTGTTCAGAACATAAACTAGCACATCTTACTGTGAAAAAGACAGATGGTTTGCTGTAGGGTTAAGATGTACACTCTTTTTAGCTCTTTCTAATTGCTTTTATTTTTTGTTTCTAGGCTTGAGCATCAAAGAATTGCTGATATATTTGTTAAAAAGGGTCCTTACTTAAAGATGTATTCAACTTACATCAAAGAATTTGATAAAAATATTGCACTGTTAGATGAACAGTGTAAGAAGAATGCAGGTTTTGCTTCAGTAGTCAAAGACTTTGAGGTACTGTAGTCATTTCTAAGATACGTCCTATTTTGTGGCTTCTCAGCTGTTGTGATCCTCCACAAGACTTTAGACACTGTCCTCCAATTGGTTGGTTTTTGTTTTCTGTTTTTTTTTTTTTTTTTTTCCCTCTGGTACAGGCTTGGCTTGAGACTTAGTAGTATGAAAGGGGAAAGAAGGAAATTCAGATTTTGTGAAGTAACTGGTGATTTTGGCTACCACTATGAGATATGATAAAGGACCTTGATTTTCAGAAAATGCAGCACTTGCTACAAATTATATCAGGCACATGAACAAAATGTTTAGCTGCTTTTTTTCAGTTTTGTTTCCTGATTGTGCTATTCACTGATTAACTGTCCTGTTTTAACCAGGTTGATTTCTCTACCACATCACAGGGCAGTAGCTTACTCATGGTGTTTCATTTCAGCTGGAAACATAAAAAAGTGAATTTTCTCATCTGCATATTTCTAGAAGTTTCAAACCCAATACGTGCCTGATTTATGTCTCTAAGAGCATTGCCAGTTTTTACATAACTCCTTTAAAACAAATCACAGAAGGGGTGCAAGCTCCCTAAGCACGATCCACACAAACTGTGAATTTACCTCCTTATTACATGGTCTTCCCCTTGGGTAATCTCTGCTGTTTCCTTAAGAATGGTTCAGAAAGCTTTTTTTTGGTTCCTTTGGACAAAGGAAGAGCTTGAGGCAGAGTCAGGAAAGACAGGGAGAGGTGGCATTTTTAAGGCCTTGGTGTTTCAGATGGACATTATTTTGAATGCAAACTCAAGATAATGAACATTTTTTGAAGCATGGATCTTTTAATTTTATGTTGTCTTTAGGGGTGTGGATTGATTAAAACTTCTGCAGTGAGCACTGCTGCTGTCTTCTCTGCCTTTCTGCCTAATGGACACTGACAGTGCTTACGAAGGAGCATGTTGCCTTTCCCATTGGTGTTTCCTTTATTTCTGAGAAGCTTTACCTCTGTTCTTCATACACAAAAGCACCTGTCTTGAATGCACAGAGTATGAGTGCTTACTGACATCTTTGAATGCATGGTTAATTTTATGTGCAGTCTTCCACACCTTTTTAAGATAAAGCTTATCCAATGTAATCGATAGTTTGTAGGTATGTTTTCTGTTGCTAGAACCCTTGACTAGCACAGATTCGTAACTTTTTTTGGGTGTTTCTTTCAGATGAGCCCCCGCTGTGCTAGTCTGGCCCTGAAGCACTATCTGCTGAAGCCAGTTCAGAGGATTCCCCAATACAGGCTCCTGTTGACAGGTACAGTCAAGCTCTTTCACAAGCTTAAGAAGCCAGTCTTCACACGTCCCAGAAAACTTGTTTTCCAGCAGTTGATTTCGTCTGTGAAGCATGTTTATCTGACTACAGACACTGGAAGCTTTTTTTTTAAAATCGTGGCATGGGTTTTGAGGCTTCCTTTGTTAATACTGATTACAATAAGACACACATGTGAGGTTCTAGTATTCCCAACACTGCGGTGTGTTCTCTGATGGTACATTCAGCAGTACTTGGAAAACATGAAACCTGTGGTAGTTTTTGTTTGTTTCTGTGGTAATAAAAGCCCATAATTTTCTTAGCAATTTGGAATGCTTCTGTTTTGCTTTGGGTAAAATTCAAGCTAGGAGAAAGAAGTGAAATATGTCTATGCAACTGTGAACTTCTGCAAGTGGCTTCTCCATTTCTCCCCACCCAGGTGTTTTGTCTGTAAAATCTGTTCTCTTTTAAGGGCAAAACACATGTTTTTACTGTACATATACCAGTAAGTGCTTAAGACTTGTTGCAGGGACACTGTAGGCTGAAGAGTGACTTGGGACTCAGAAATCTGGGCTCTTGACCCTGCTCTGGCTGTGGCCATGTTTGGGTGACCTTGAGCGAGTCGTGTCCATGATGCAGTGCTTTCGTTTCTGTAAAAGGAGGGCAATGATGGAGGTCTCCTTTGTGGAATATTTTGAGATGTGTTTGTTGTAAAAGGGGGATGGCTCCGGTAAGGATTTGGACATACTTAAGGCATTGTTTTTGAAAGCTGTTGCTTCTTGATGAGCAGTTTAAAAATAGCCTCTGTTTATGTAGTAACTGCAAAATAAAATGCTCTGTGACCTTTTTTTTTTTTTTGGCTCTGCAGCAGCTTGTTGGCATTTCCCCAGCAAGTACTTAGACTAGTGATGCTGTGGGAGATAAAGACTTAAGTACTATACAGCAGTTACCAAGTTATTAACATTGAGTCTCTTCGTTTTTATCATCTCATTAAAGTTACTGGTGTTGAAAAAAGGGTGAAAAACACTTCAGTGTTCCCCTTTGTAGTGGAAGATCTCAGTGACTGATGAAACCAAACCATAAAATGACGTTTGGGGAGTTTCTTTATTTTAAAAGGATACTGACTTAGAGCATGGTATAGGCTTACTATACACTCTAAATAATCAGTGTATCTTTGGATGAGTTCAAAAACTTTAATAGCAAAGTGAGAGATGTCAGGGTTGAATGGCACTGAAATAAAACTCAGATGTTGGAAGCAAATTCCTTGTGATCATTAACTGGCAGGAACAGGCTGGTTTAGACCTGAAAAAAATCATTCTCTGGGTGATGGGAATTGCTGTGGGTATCCCCAGTCTGCAGACCTTACTGTGGCTGCTCAACTTTAAATATATGTGTAAATGCTATTGACAGGAATGGGGTTGCAATGCTGGCTGCTGATTTAGAAAAGTAATTTTCTCTTTTTCTGTGGGAGCAGCAAAAGAGGTCAGACTAATTATGATGGGGCTGGGGAATGTTACTTTGGATCTGTTTAATTTTCAGTCTGTTTAATCTATCTTGCATTTCTGTTGTCCTTGAGATTCTCTCTTGTCTATATCTCCGTGGGTGACCCATTGTTTTTATGTAATATTAAGCAATGTCTATATAATCTTGTGCTGCAAAATCTTTGGAGGGCATGTAAAATATTTGGATCTATTGTTGCAGTGAGTGAAATTCAGTGATGCAGCAGCTCCCCAAGCTGAAGACAGAGGGATCTGTAGGCGAGGAAGGAGGGGATGGCGGGTGAGAGCAGGGGAGCGAAAATAATCCAGGAAATGAAGCAGCTAGGCCTGAGTCAGCAGGGATTTCTTCCTATTTACATGTTCTGTGTCAGTGGGGCAGCTTTGTACTGGTAACCTGCTGCTACGTGGTCACATCACAAGATTGTTGCTGTGCTTTGAAGTGGAGTTGCTTTTGTGCTAACAAAAAGCAGGAGCAGGTGGACTCATAAATCAGCTGTGGAGAGGCACAGCTCAGCTGTGTTTCAGTTTAATTATACAGCTTGTCCAGTCCAGCAAGTGAACTTCCACTTCTCCACAAGCTGGCCCAGAGCTCTATACAGTGAATATGAGACGGGTGTTGGGGGAGGTTAATTAGAGGCCTTCTGATTTCAATAGAAATGGAGGAGAAGTGTTTCTGTCCTCCCAAAACCCTCTGGTTTGAGTAGATAACTTGAGACTGTACAATATGCACAGACTCTTCATTGTCATAGGCTAAACCTCTCTGTTCTTTTTATCAACATAAAGTTTGTGGAGACAGAGTCTTTTTTATTAACCTTAACTAAGATGTAGAGAGGGCAGGCTGAGGAGGATGATAAATAAGCCTTTGAGCACACTGCTCCTTTGCAGGTTGGAAATGGAGGAGTTAGACCTGGGGCCAATTACAACTTGGGGACCAATTGCTTCGATTTTAACTTAATTAAATAAGACAACCTGAGACAAAGAGTAGTTAAGGAAGCAGAAGAGAATTTTTAGCAGATGTCATAGCCACTGACCTCCTCCCCCTCCAGCAAGAGGGAAGAGAGAATTACTGGCTGCTGTCAGCCAGAGGCAGGGCATGAGGAAATTTTTTGTTCCTCACAGAAAACAGTACTTGTGTGATTTTCTGTTGATTTTTGTTGTGTTTTGGGGTATCCAGCAGAGTTATGAATTTTAGTTTCTATGTCTACCTTTCCAAAGGTGTGCTTAAGGTCTTCTAGTCTGTATGACTGAAGCACATTTCAGAGGAGAAATTTTTTTTGGCACAAACAGTAGATACCATTCCACCTTAATATTTGACTTCTGTGTTTATTTTATCTAGGAATATTTTTGCTAAATTTTTACTGTAACGTTATTCATGTCTGAAATCTGCTTGTCTGTATAGTTTAAGCCAGTACCTCCAGAAGGCTGTTGCAAGCACAGAATTTCCAATGTGTATTCACAGAAGAGACTAAAAATATCTGTTCTGACACTTGTTTGAAGCTTAGTTTTAGCGATGAATTTATGTCCACTTATCAGATATACATAGAGAGTATCAGGATGAAAATTATGTATTCCTCACTTTCAGGTTTTATAGTTGCAAGTTCTATTGTCTGCTTCATATTCGTAATGCAAAATCTGCTTTCCTTTTCAAATTCAGAATTTGAAATGAATGCACTTATGTTAAAATCTCTAATTTTCCCCCTTCTGTTCAGTGATGATATGATTTAAAAGGCTAGAGTATAGCCATCCAAAAGATGTTTTTGAGTGATGTGAAGTGTTGTTGTTTTGCGGAACGTGTCATAAAGCATGAATATGCCAAGAAACAGTTCCCACGTTGCACCTATAGTTTTAGATTTCCAGTGCAATTACTTCAGATATTAAACTGGATGTCTTGATGTACTAGGGACAGTTTCTTAGCGTGCCAGCAGTACATTTGCAGATGAGTAAATTATCCCCACCTCACCTCTTGTTCCCAGCCTGTAGAACTGAGTGTGGGGTTGGCAGCTTTAAGAGGCTAGTGTTTCTGTGTAAGCTGTAAGGACTCATTTTTCATAGTGGGAGGTTCTCACTGGAGTATTTTTTGCTGGCCCCGATTGTGAAGCTTTAACTTGTTATCCAAGTTAAAACCAATGTGAGCTCTTCTTGGTTCCTTTCAAAATGCCTCCTGTTGATTTTTTTTCTCTCACACTAGTTTCTTACCAACATAACCTGAGGTGAAGCAAGATGAACTTGGTTTTTAATGGAATATGTGTCCACCTAAATATTGCACTGGAATGTCTGGTAGCTACTACAGCACCAGATCATGATGGATGTGACAGATGCAATATTTATGGGGTGTAGCTCAAGAGGTTTTTGTGCCATGTCAAACTTGTCTTAAAAGATCACACGTTGACCAGCAACTGATAATGGTCAGACAAATCTTTGAGGAGAGCAGAAAGCTGTGGGTGTTCCAGTGGCCCAGGCAGCGAGACCTCCCAGCACTCCCTCTCCACTTCCCTTCAGGAGACCCCAGCCAGTTCCTCTTCCTTCACCCCAACCTGCTCCTCATGCTGCTCTCCTGGATCCTCCCTTAGGTCTTTGCCAAGAAAATAAAATTTCAGTGCCAAATATTTTTCTTCCTGCAGTTCTGTTTTTCTCAAAGCTTTAATTAACTGTGACAAGATTTTTCACTACTCTTAGTATTTCTACTGCAGAAACATGCTTTGTAATTGGTGTTTTGGTTTTGGTTGCTTTTTTTTTTTTTATAAGGAAGAGATTACAATACACTAAGCGATCATCTTCTTGCATGGAACAAGATATCTTATGTAGGCAGGAACAATTGGCTCCTGATCCTTTTTGAGTAAAAGGATGAATTTGGGTAGGGCAGGCATAAGGGAATTGAATTATTTCACTCCTACATGAAACTTGCACAACTGTGAAGCTGAAATTGAACACTTGCTAGATCACATGTGATTAATTTTCAGTAGATCTGCCAGAATCTTAATACCTCATTTAAAAGGTAATTATAAATCAGTATTTCTTGATATTATCAATCTAATTTTTATTTCTTTGAAAGTCTCTCATTTGGTTTCTTGCAATTTTAAGCAATTCAAAGCTGTAACTTGTAGGGAATAATAGTTGGTGGCCTTCTTTCTGAATGTATATATTTATCTTTGACAGGATATTGCACTTTCTGGTTTAACTAGACACACGACCAGGGAATAGAAGCTTGAGGGGGAATGTTTTCTTGTATAGTCATATATTTGGAGTTAATTTTAGTTAAGTAAAATAGATTTTAAAACTACAAAGACGTTAATGGATTGAGGGTGCCATCTCGTGGCTGAGAAACTAAATTTATAGCTGGAAATCAAAAGTGCCTATTTGAACATTGGAAGGGGGTCTAATACTTGTATTATTGAAAAATATTAATCCTAATCAGATATTCTATAGTGGACTGGGTTTTTTTCTTGGCTCCTGTAGACAAGTTAGATGCTCAGGCAAATATATGTATCTTCAAATTTTTTTTGCATCAGCTTAAATGTAAATGATTGCAAGTGTGTACTTATTTTTTGCTTGCTTGCTTTGTTCTGGAATAATATGTATGGCATATCGTTTGTCTTTGGAGGAGGCCACTGTTTCAATAAGCTTATTTTTCCTGAGCAGGATATTGTGATATACTTTCTTTATGGAAATGGTCGTTTTACGTTTATTACTTTGACAGACGTAAAAGATTAATAACAGATAGATCTTTGTGGCATAGGTCTGCCTGAAAAACAAATTTCCAGGAAAAAGGTGGTTTTACTTTCTGGTGCTGTTTATTTCTTTAACAAAACTGTCTCTATATTAATTTTTTCTTTATACAGATTATTTAAAGAATCTTTTAGAAGAATCTGTGGACTACAGGGATACTCAAGGTAAATGTCTCTTTAAAGAAATAATAGATTATGGAGTTATGATAATATTTCTAAACCTTAAATGCATACCAAATGCTAAGCCAGTAATAGGACCAAATAGAAAACATTTCTAAGTTTCTCAGCAGAGATACTGAAAGATTGCAGACTTGTGTTTCAGAAAAGTTGGGAGCTGACAGTGGTATCAGCTCACTCTTGAGTGGAAACCAGAAGATAAGAGTGAAGTTCCCCAGGCAACTTAAGCAGGTATTTTGGGCACTACTATTGAAAGAGACAGTCCTTACATATGGAGACCTTTCATGACAGGCAGTCTGATCTACCAGCTCCTCTCCCCCAGCTATGAACCATTCTGGCTTCTTCCTCTCCCTTTGTGCCAGGGCAAGTGTTCATGTGGTGGGAGTGAAAAAGATCAGGGAGCTGCTCTGAGTTATATTTAACCTGAGGAGTTCTCCAGTTTGAATTGTCACAAGCTGCACACACAAGTGACTTCCACAAGTTTGTCTGCCTGTGGGGAAAAAGGAGATAAAGAAAAAATGAAAAAGAATAATTGGTGATGGAAGAGGACAATACCATGTGTTTCATGGTAGTTTGAGATTAAGCTGGCTGAACTTGAATGTAGCAATGCAATGCATGTTCAGATTGTTTCCTTCTATGCGTGTGCCTCAACAGTACTAAAAATGCTCCCAGTCAATGTTTCCATTTCATTTACTTGAGCCTCTGTCACTTAAATCTCTTAGCGACATTTTTGCAAACCCGTTATTTTTAAGAAGGTCGTGTAGTTAATGGGACTGCAATAAATGAGTCCCTTAATGCATTGATCCAAGTTTGCTTCCTTATAGCTTTGTCAGCATAGGACATATAGGCATATTTGTTTCAGTATATTGAAAATAGAAGCCAAAATATTTTAAATACTTGGTGACCTGCTTAGTGGATGAGGGAAAGGCTATGGACATTGTCTACCTGGACTTTAGTAAGGCCTTTGACACATTCTCCCACGGCATTTGGCTGGAGAATCTGGCAGCTCATGGCATGGGCAGGTCGATTCTTTGCTTGCTGGTTCTTCAATAACCAGCAAATTTTCTCTAACATCCTTCAATCTTTCTTGCAGTCAATGAGTAAATTTTAAGTTTTCAATACATATAATAGCTGATAGGTGAAGGAGAGTATAACAAAAAAATCAGGTACTCATTCCTGTTTTCATGAATTTAGCTAAGTTTCTTTTCATTTTCCTTCAAGTGCAGGTGAGCTGGCAAGTGTTTTGGCTGGAAGAGCTCCAACATTTCCTAGTAGGAGACCACCAGCTATTTTTCAGCAAGCTCAGCTGACATCATGACATCTATATCTAAACTTAAATCTTGATCATATGTTTGATATGTGCTGTACCTTTTAACTGTTTGACTCCTGTGCTTGCATTGCCTTTGTTCATTAAAATCTTGAACAGGTGTTTTCTTAGGACTGACTTATGAGGAGCTTTTTGTTCACACCTCAGTTTCTTATATGGATTCATGAACCTCTGAACCTTTCTGTTCAGAAAGCTGTATCTTTTAACATTATTTCTTTTTGAATATGAACACAACAAAAATGAAAGTATATACCTTCTGCAGTACTAATACTATTAATGACTGGATGGAAAAAAATCCCAAGGCTTTGGGTTCATCTGGTTTGCTAGGCTTCTCTGGACTTTTAAGCAAATGTAGTTCCTTTATTTGGAGTGCATGACTGCACTTCAATTACTCAGAAGGTGCTAAATGCTTTAGAGACTGTTTTACCAGGGGATTTGTTCTAGCTTTCAGTTAAATGAGTCTTTTTAAAAAATTAAGTAAATTACAGGTTTTTGAATAAGACCCTCGGATGGGTTCTGTTTTGTACAGTCAGTATTCAGTAATTTACATGATTTTTTTATGTACTCCCTTTTAGCAGTTACACCTTAGTATATATTACAGTCCAGTTGCTAGTTATTAAATGTCAGTAGTTTATAAAATCCCTGCTCTTTGGTAACTCTTCTTTTTCAGAGGTGTTTGGGGTTTTTTTGTTTGTTTGCTTTTTTCTTTTGGTATTACAGGTTTGAAATTTAGAAATCTGAACTATATACTGTTACCTTGAGGTGTAGCAAAATTAAAGGCAGAAGAAAGAAATCAAAAAGATTTGGATAATTTTTCTAGGTAGTCTTCCATGACTGGCACCAGAGGCAGTTGTGTAAAATGGAAAAAAAACTTAGTCTCACTTAAAATGTTGATAACTTTTCTGCTGTAAGTAGAGACATTGAAATTAGTTATTTTTGTGAGAAACTAGAATTTAATTTTGCCAATGAACTTTTTTTAGTAGCTGTAAGAAATGGTTGATACTGTTGGTTGAAGCAATTACTTGCTAGGGCACACTTACTTACACTTACAAACCATGATCCAGACCCTCTGGGCTCTATGGGAAGCGCTCCTGAATGCAGTGACTGTACAATCAGGTCTTTGAATCTTGGCATGATCTGCAGTATTGTACCTGTGCTTTACATAATACCAATGCTAACTAGTCTATATAATCAAAGCATTGTTTCCTCATCTTTCAGATGCTCTAGCGGTTGTCATAGAAGTTGCAAACCACGCCAATGACATCATGAAGCAGGGAGTAAGTATTTATGAAGCTGGTTGATTAAAGCTTTTTATCTTTTTTGTTTTAACTCATGGATCCCAGGGCAGTTACTTACCTTTTGCTTTTTTTCCCTGTAGGATAACTTTCAGAAACTCATGCAGATTCAGTACAGTTTAAATGGACACCATGAAATTGTACAGCCAGGAAGGGTAGGTCCCCCAGCGGGCATGCAGCAGATTGCAGTAGAAGTGCAGCACATGATGAGCAAGCAAAGTACTGAAGCTGGCATATGCCAAGAAGAAAAATGGTCCATCTTTTAATTATTTGCTTCTAGCAGTCAAATTAATATTGCCTCTCCCTTTATGAGGCTTATTTTAGGCTTTTGTCTGATGAAAACCTATGATTTTTAGAATATTATTCCTTGCCAGATCTTGCAGGCAGGCTTTCTTTTTCCCCTCAAGAGTAATCTTTTATTTGTCATGGTTTCAAGTGCAGCCACCCACACTCAGTTCTAGAGAAACTTAAGGATGAACAGCCTTTCTCAGAAGGGGAACCTTGAATCCCAAAACTTCTGCAAGCACTTGAAGCATAGTAATAAAAATAATACCAATAATGAATTTGTATGGCTAGTGCCCTGAAAAACTAGGTTTTGAATTGCTTGTTTTAATTTGCTAGGTCTTTCTTAAAGAGGGAACACTCATGAAGCTGTCCCGGAAGGTCATGCAGCCACGAATGTTTTTTCTGGTAAGATGCTGTCTGTGGTGTTATGTGCTTAACACTAGTGTAATTTTAAGTGATTGAAACATTACACTGGAAATATAAGTAATAACTTCAAGTAATGGAAAAAGTGACCAGTTGTTTCTGCTTGCTCAGTTCTAATTTAGAGATCAGCTGTTGCCTATGCACTAATTTTAACAGAAAACCATTTCTCACTAAAATGTACTGTTTTGAACAATGCATGGCTAAAATTTTAGCGCTTTTATGAGAAGACATTATCTGTGGCAGCACAAAAACTAAAACAGTTACTCCATCCCACTTAGCCAGACTAGATCTTAAATCCTATAACTTTGCTTTTGCTGTTGCACCCTTCCCTCCCTCCTGCTCTCTCCTTATCCTGCAGGAGCCTGCTTGCAGCCTGAGTGGAGCACTGGGCTGGAAGGGAAGGGATGGGTCCTCAGTTTCTCAGTTTCTGTCTCTGCTACTCTCTTTTTTTTTTTTTTTTTTTTTTTTTTTTTTTTAAACTTCTGTGCATGTCTGAAGTTTCTGTTTCCACTTGAACCTTTTGCTTATCTCTTCTGTTAGATAGTAAAGCAGCTGTTGCCATGTGTAATTTGTGGCGTTACTGGTCCAGAGTCCTAGCTGAAATCGGTCTTCTAGTTACAGTGGCACAAATAAATGCTTCCCTAGTCAGTCATGGAGTACGTATTCTAAGTTTGCAAGTTCCTGTCTTGTGCTCTGGAGATGACTGTAGCATAAAAAGCACTGAGGTAACTGCAAATGATATCAGTTAAGTTAATACTCTGAAAAATCTGGTGTTATCTGGAGCTGGGCTTCCCAAGTAACATACTGCTAATTTGAGTGGATTTAGCTCGGACTTTATTTTTGTTATTTGGAGTGGTTTGTTGTTTTTTTGGTTTTTTTTTTTTTGAGTTCTTTTTGAGTTGGCTTTATTTTTCAGTTATAAAAGGTGCAGGCTAATGCTCACATCTTTTGACACTTAAGCAGTGATTTTTCCATTGATTGTGCTTTGAAGATTTAGTAAAGCTCATGAAACATTTGGTTGTTTCGTGAAGAACTTCATAGCAATAAACGTGTGAGACAGTTTAGTTTTCTGTTCTGTGTTTATGTGAGTAAATGAAATTTGAATCCACTTGTTGAACAACACTGAAAATAAAAAAAAATCTTAACAACTGTTCAGTAAGAGCACTGAATGAAGCAACACCTGGTAGAACAGAAACTGAACAGTAAGTGCACATTTAACCTGGTAAAATTCACATGGTGCTTATGGATAACTTTGTCCTTATAAACTGCTAATCTTAATTCTACTATTTCAGAGTTCCTGGAATGTTTTGCTTTGTTTGAATGGTTAATTTTAACATCCTTTTAAATTAGTTTGTTACACAATATAGCTGTGTACATGAGAAGCATTTTTGTCCTTTTTGACAGCCTGTTCTTTGACATCTGTGCACTGTTTACTCATTTGCCCAATTTATATTTACACAAGCAGTATATATATAGACACCTATTCTTATCTAAATTCATACATAAAAATGTTTCTTGGGTTCTAAGTAGAATAACAGGAAGTATAAGATGCCTTTCTGGACAGCTGATATCAGTGCTGTATGAGTTCTGTATTTCCAATAAAATGCATCTGAAATAATCAGTCTCTAAACCGTCTCTAGTCATTAAAAAGCATTGCTTCTGTATTACAGTTCAATGATGCCCTGTTGTATACTACTCCAGTTCAGTCAGGGATGTATAAACTCAACAACATGCTGTCATTGGCTGGAATGAAGGTGAGTCACTTGTTAAAATGGTTCCTTCTCCAAATCAACTTAAATTCAAGCATTCCAAATTTTCAGAAAACAACTCTGTTTAATGTTGGAAAGAGTTATTAAAGATATTTATGTTTCAGAGCAGTCCTACAGGCTTAATGTTTTTTGCATAATACAGCCTGTGGGATTGCTATTTAGGTTTCCCTAAAAAACTGCTGCCACAGGATCATCCCACCTGTATTTTATCTGGTATTGTCCCACTGGGAAATGGTCTACTTACTTATTTTTTGTGTTGTATTTTGTTTAGACTGCCTCACTTTTGCCTTGTAAATGCTTTTCATTGCCTACACTCAGAGATTAGGCATCTCTGCCTGATAAGCTTCTGGTGAATCAAATCTCTGGTTTACAGAGATCTGCTAACTATAAGGGTAGATGTAGCTTTTGTTTCTGAGCCTGTGTGGAAAGAATCAAAGCTAGGCTCCGAGCCCTTCTGGGTAGTGATAAAGGGACATGAATGCCATATATTGACATGTTCTCTGACGTGACAGTTGGTGGGAACAACAAACAGTTGCCTTGGGAATCAAGTAACTTGTCTCAGGTCCTGTCAGAGAAAAGCACCAAGTCCAGCTGCAGTGAAGATCTGGTGCTCGGGTCCAAGCTTTCACCAGCAGAGCTGCAAAATCTCTTTTGCCAGCAGATGTCTCGTGGTGGCTCAGAACTACTCTTAACTTTTAAGCCTCCTTATATTTGAAACTTGCTAGCTCAGAAGGCTGGGCAGGGTGATCCAGCCCTTAGGGGTGTGGGGCAGATGTATACTGGTCAGCTACATCATGTTCTGCAGCACTGCCTTTTTTTTTCCCAGTTGCAGGAGGTACTTAGAGGGCAGCAGCAGGTGTCTGACAGCTCTCGAGCTTCATTACCCTCTATGTCTCCACTGTTTGTGTGGGGCACAGTGAAATTAAGTAGTGGGCTGCATGTAATCTTAGTGTAGATCCTAATCTCACGACTGTGTGATTTTCTGGTTTTGAGATTTTTCTCTCCAGTGTACCCCTTCTGCAATAAAAATGTAAGAGATTTTTTTTCATTAAGTAAAAGCAATTATAAAAGTACCATTTCAGTTTGAATGTCAAGTTTGCTTTCTTGACTGAAGGTTAAAAAGCCAACACAGGAAGCGTATCAGAATGAACTGAACATTGAAAGTGTAGAGAGATCCTTCATTCTTTCAGCAAGGTAAGTCTTATAAATGAATAATGATTTTGAAAATGTATGGTTTCAAACAGGCCACAAACTTTTTTTTAGCTTGTTTTGCACTTATGTAATGAAAACTCACCCTTGGCTAGAATAATTACAGAAAAGAGGGAATGATAGATGGGTTTCTGGAAATAAAGTAGGCTTTGTTCTAATTTACTTTAGTACACATTCAAAATCTGATTTTGAAAATATAGGTTTATTTTTAAATGGACCAGCAGAAAGGAAGTGTGGTTGTGTGTAATAAGTTTCACAGATATCATGTGAAATAGTAGTCTCTAGTACAGTTATAGTCACCCGGACTTGTGAGGAAGACTGCCCATTGTGAACTGATGGATAGAAGCACAAAAGCTACAGGAAATGTGACCAGTCTGAGCACCTTGGGCTTAAAGCTACAGCTGGTAGGGATTCTACTGTCCTCCAGACAGATAACTGGTAATCAGAGTGAATAAAACTCTTGCTTGGTTTCCCATTTTCAATTTAGCTACACCTTCAGAAACTTGAAATCCTTTCACTGCCTTTCTTTGAGGGAACAAGAATTACATTGGTTTCGATTCAAATCATTTTAAGCTTTACTTTTCAGTAATTTTTTTGTTCTTCCAGAGTTAGTGATATGCTCTGTCAGTGAGTTAACAGGACAGGATATGAAGTGTGACAATAAACCTTTATATTATTATTGGTAACTGATATAAATTTGAAGAAGTCATCCTGGTGTTCTAACTAAAGTAGCAATGTAATTGAAACAAGAAACGGATCTCAGTGAACCTGAAATTATGGAAATGTCAGCAAATTGTGGAGTGGTGGTTGTCTTGACCACAAAGCCAAATTCTCCATGTAGCAGTGAAAGGATACATGGTCACTAAACCAGAGCCAGCTCTTGTCTGCCTTCACCGAGATGCCTTTAGCAAAGGCCTGGTTTTGTGGATTGTTGTTTTTACTGTGTTTGAGTTGGAGTTTTATATGTCCTGACATTTTTGACAGTTCTGATACCAATGCAGAAAGACATGTTTTCTCTTTTGTTTAGCAAATCTGAGTAAGGGCAGACTGCTTCTTTTTGTGTGACCTTGTAAACACCAACATGAGTATGTCTGCACAAAGATAGCAGTATCTCTAGCTGAGGGGTAGCACAAGGTTAACCTTGTCAAAGTAGCCAAAAGGAAGTAGCTCAGTTGTTTAAGCAGTAGTTAGTTATAACAACAGATTTGAAAAAGAAGCATTTTTTCAACAAATTTAAGTGTTTCTTATGGGTTTTTTTTGCACATTGGGGGGGGAAAAAATTATGCATTTTACAGTTTAGGGTATGATTCTGCTCCAGTGTAATATGAGCAGGTCCATGCTGCTTAGGTGACTTGGTGACTTGGTCTTGTTCAGGTAGATGAAGGCATTTATGGGATTGCAGCAGGCAATGTGGATTTGTCTCTGCTTGACTTGAAACAGCATTTAACTTCTAATTCAGTCATTTTTAAAAATTGTAAAAAAATTTGAACCTGTGAAGATTATAGTCTTGAAATTCAACCTACCTATTTTCCATGAAACAGGATAGAGTTGTCCTTTTGAGGAACTGATTGGGCGGCAGATTAAAAGCAAATCCTGTGAAGTACGTGCTGGTCCATAGGGGAAAGCCTATAATGTTGTCATCAAATGGGGCATGCTTTGTGACATCCTTCCAACTTGACCTTGAAATTACTGGAGTTACCCTCACATTACCAACTAAAGCTCTGATTTGCTCTTTGTTTTTGAGCATTGTTTATCTTGCATCTTTGAAGAGCATTCAGCTCTGTTATTTTTATACTTGTTGGAAGCTGTGAGTGAAAGCCCCAAGTTACACAGCAGTGACGGAGAGAGGTTCCATTTGCTTGGGATGAAGGAGGTGCTGGGAGCCATCGGTATGAATTAGGATTTTCAGATTGTTGTCTGTTTGTAAACAAGGCCTGGGTCTGTGGTGTAGGAAGGAAAGTGAAAAACTACTAGCAATAGGTGCTTGTGTATATTTTTTTTTCCCAGTTAATTATATTGTCCCTATTGATAAATATCCAGGATGTGAAGAGAATCAGTCTCTTATCAGTATAGACTGCACCTTGTTTTTGACGATACTTCATTCTAAGAGTTTCTTGGCTTCTGTGTTCTTGTGGTTTATATCTAGCCAGCAACTAAGCACCATGCAAGTGCTTGCTCACTCTTCCCCCTCACTGGTGGGATGGGGAGGAGAACTGGAAACAAGTAAAACTTGTGTGTTAGGATAAGAACACTTTAATAATTGAAATAAAAATAAAACATGATAGTAATTAAAAGGAAGATAACAAAAAGAGAGTGAAATAAAAGCCAGGAAAGACATGTGATGCACAGTGCAATAGCTCACTGCCTGTTGCAAAAAGTGGGGGGTAAATCCAGTCTTGTGTGGCTGGCACTGAATATATGATAGACGCAGATCAGGAGGCAAATGGTAATTGTTTATTTACAGCAACATTTAAAGGTTCTTTTGGATTGCCGGTGATAAAATTAAAAGCTACGGGTATAACTAAAGGTTTATTGCTAATAACAACAACACACTAGATATATATGTGCACATACACCCCCCAAAACAATAACAACTTGC